GTGGAAAGTATTTAACGGTCGGGGAATTGAAACGGGCTCGTAATCGCGCCACTTGACTCTTTGCACGGCGGTTAAATCGAAAAATATTTGCCGCGGAGTATATTCATTATCACTGGATTACGGATTTTATATATATATATATTTATATACAGGGTGTCCCGTCACTGGTGGTACAAGCGAGTAGGGGGTGATTCTACGTAAAAAATTGAAGCGAAAATGTAGAATAAAATTTGTTTATATGACGCTTTATTTTCGAGTAAAGTAATTTTAAATGTCGAGTACGCGTGCACTTCAACCAGCTCCAGTTGGACAATACAATTTTTCTCTTATGTAACTGACAGTTATTAGAAGTAGTTACTATTCAGACATTTTTAGTTGGTAACGCAGCTAAATAATTTTTTACTAAATTATGATAACAGTTCGATAACAGACCTTACTATTAGAAAATAAACATATAAGCAATCGAAAACACCTTCAATATAAAAGTTAATAATCAAGTAGCAATTATTTTATTTCAAACAGTTATATCAAGTTGAATTCAACAAAATTCAAGTAAATCGTCTGTCCAGCTGTTTGAATTCAAATTAAATAATTAAAATAATGAATTAAAATTACATCCGTTCCGCCTCGAAATAATCACAAATACAATGTATTGAAATTAATGGGCGGTAGTGCAGTAGGAATCTAATTGTAAATCGTCTGTGAACGCACGAAGGGAACGTTATCACGATTGATTAACCGATCGGTGAAGAACCAATAACTTCCTATTTTTCCTCTAATTAGCGTTAGAATCTCGGACCCGACGCGTTACACTACCCTAGTACAATTTGTCGTCGTGTTACGCCCGAAGGGGATTGATTTCCCGATGACCAGCGATTTTCCGTTTCCCTACTATTTCTTTTATTGCCACCCTCAACCACCTCCAATCCTCCCGACCTCTACGCGCCCATTAGCAATTATACGACCGTATCGAGTAACCACTTACTTTCATTTCCCTCGGCACGAAAGAGTGTATCATTTCGAATCGTTCCAAGGAAGTTAACTGTTTGCGGTCGAACCTCGAGATATTCGCGGCAAATGCTGTCCTTTTTATCCTTGCGGTCGCATTCCGGGATACACTCGACGCAGGTGTGTAATCGTTATCCTGACGGTGAAGTTTATTTTGCAAGGGAAGCAAACCTCGAAATTCGAATTTAAATGGCACCTCGTATGAATTATAAGTAGACTGAGAATTTGTATGCATTTATAGGAAATTTGAAAGTAATCAGGCTAAATTTGATAGGAAATTTGAAAGAAATCAGGAAATGCGCGCAGTATGCAATCATTTGAAAAAAGATATTGAAAGTACATATTAAAATATTTGTACAGTAAAATAAATTCTTATTTAAATTCAATTTTTGTAGATACGTCTGCAACGATTTTATTTTGTATAAAGATCTGCAGTTTAATTACAAGGTATGCCGTGCGAATCACATATAACGTGTGTTCGTTTTTCATTTATTTGTCAATTATCAGTCACTTTCCATGATAATGACGAATATATACACTCCATATTATGTATATGAAATTTAAAATGCCCAATGCTACGGATCATAAAAGCATCGGAGGAAAAATTTTGGAGTTAGCAGCTGCTTTAATTAGATTGGAACTAATTGTAAGGAATAAGCGACGGCAAGCAGTTAACGCAGCAAGCAGACCGAATCCCAAAAAACTCCAGCATTTAAATCGTGCGACTTTTATCGGGTTACAATCTCTTAACGACAGCCTTCCGTTTCAGCGAAACTCATCGCAGTGAAGCGTTTAAACGCAGGGTGCTGTAAAGAAGAAAGTAGTTTGAAAGTAGAGTTGCTGTACCAGCCCTTTTTTTCTGGCGTACGATATTCCATTTACTGAACGAATTTTTTCGAACGAAATTTTGGTCGTTTGAAATTGTGTAAGAAGAACGCGCCAATTTTGTGTTAAATGTATGAGACTGAAGAAGGGAGCACCGAATTATAATTAAAGTTAAGCGAATGTGTATTGAAACGAAAATTTATTAAAGAACTTATTGCGTATCGGAAAACGTTCGAATTTATGTTCAGTTTATCCTTTGACTCTTTAGAATTTTCCAGATTTTATTTACTTAAAGAAAAATGATGGCAGACATGCAGGGAATAATTTAAATACTTTTATCGCGAATCATCATTGATTTACATATACGTGCCGTTGGATATTTACGTAATATTTTGTATCTGTATAATTTAGGAAGAATCAACAAGAATAAAAACAAATATTAAATATTACCGGATGTATATTACCTTCCATGAAATATTTTAAATGTGAATTAACAGAATTATGCGTCCTCGCGCACTGTATCGTAAATTAAAAACATGTGCAACAAAATTATGGTCGAAAAGTAGTATTTTGACTTTAAAAAAAAGGAAAAACTAAAAATAAATATTAGTATAAATATCATCGGATATGCATCTTTATATACTGCATGGTAAATGAAAAGTATGTGCTGCCCTAATTTTACGTATGCAATCAAATTGTGGTCAAATAGTAAAATTTTTTACTTCAGAAGAAGATACAACCAAAAAACAAAGTAAAAACATGATGAATATATAGAAAGTTTCGCTTGAGACTTAGCAATGAAATAATATAAATAAAAATTTCAATAAATTTACAGCTCCGTTATACGCTATTTTCCACAGACGATTTTGAAGCATTCCGATAGAAACAAATAGAAATCCTCGACTCTACCATTAATTAATAGTAAAATAATATAAAACATTCTCGAGAGCCTGCAGTACACCAAAATCTAATTTCAGCAACTCCGATCGCTAGATGGTACAGCGGTCGCAAAAATGTATAAAAAAGCCAGGTTAACAGTTAAATATCCAGTCAGTTTCGCGAATCAACCCTGCGGTAATAATTTGTGTCTTTCTGTACAGTACGTCATCATATACTACGTCGCTTGTGCCGCTGGAACAGAAAATCGCATATTTCTCTGTCAGCTTTGATTTGCGGACGCGCGTTAACCGGGCATTTTTGTTTCTTTTTTGTGAACGCTATACGTCCCTAACGTTTCCTGCATCGCGGTTGCGTGGACCGCGATAAAAATCTACACGGCGCATGCCGACTTAATGCCGCGTGACAATTGACCAAGACATCACACACGGAGGCTGCGCCGGTGACAATAAGAACTCTAATAACGCAATTATTATCTGTCCAACTTGTTAAGGGAGATATTTGAAATCGACTGAGGGGCTTTCTTCAATCGGCAGAAATCGATTTTCAGCGGGTTTTGATAAAAGACGTGTCACGATCCGGTGGTAGAAGAAACACGGAAATCAATCCTCTGATTGGCCGTTACTTTGGCCTCGAAAGCTCCGAGAAAGTAGAAGCTGGAAGGCAGAGATAGACAAAAGTCGTGGCTAGATGAAAGTTTACGTTACGTAGAAAATACATCTTTTGGAGTTTGAATTGTGGCATGAAAATAGGAATAAAAAGATATTCGGATATTTAGATATTCAAGGCTAACGTTTTGACAATTAGAGCAACGAACAAAAAGAATTCTTTATTAGATATGAATTTTCTGATTTTCTTTCAATGAATGACATATTATTATTGGTCTTTTTCAGAATACATTCCAATTATATAAAATAAAATATCATTTTACTGAGTACTATGTAAGGAATTAATTTTTAGTTAGTTAGCTTTCAAGAAATTGAATAACACGAAAAATCTCTTGCAAATGTTAGTCACGTTCTTTTTCCAATTAATTTTTTGGTCAAAACTGAAGAGAATAAGAATATTTTTAAACAGATGTAGATTGTTCCACAAAATTTGCTCATTTTTTTCTTAAAAATCTTGCCTTTCGTAAACAAATCCTCAAGTGAAACAATATCGCTATTCATCTAGTTTCTAAAAATTCATCTAATTTTATCTAAGACTAAAGAAATCCACTCCACGACGTACTCGAAAAATTCCCATAAACAATCAATCCTAACGCGTTCTAACACAAGTAAACAATTTCTCCTAAAAATGACCAAAAATATTCTTCGAAGCATACTCTTACCTACGAAACATTTCAATGAAACACCTTAACTTCGTTCCTGCCGGAGCACGTATTTCCCGAATCCCGTTTTTCGGCCACGAGACGTCAACCGTATTAAATTTCCGCGACGTCGCGACAATTATCTCGCGTTCGAGCGCCGAACGAAAGCAATTCCGCCTGCGGAGCTAATGAGTCAATTAAGCGGTACACGGTTTAAAGGCCGACGTATCAATTCGAAGCGCAAATCGTACACGGCAATAACAACGCCGCTATAAAGCATCCTAAGCTAACTAGTTTGCCACTTGAGCCACCGGACGCAATTTCGCGCCGATTTAATGGTGGACCGGCCTGTACGACGACGGTCTCCCTACTCCCTGTCCCCGGGCTCGCACCCCATTGAGCAACGCCCCTGGGTACAAGGGTGAGAAATGATCGGCCGCTAATGCTAATGAATATCAGCTCGTCGTGTCAGGGAGGGTTGTTTGGAGTTTAGGAGTCCCTCTTCAACCCCTCCCACTTTCCAGGAGCCGGTTACCGTGGCACGGAGGGGTCGCGGTCGCTTTTAAGAAAATTACTGACAGAGGGGAAAACGGCCCACTGTTTCCCCTAATTAGCTAAAATTACACGATTTCTTGCGCCAGATGCGTCGTGTCATCCCCTTTCGTTTTCGCGGGCCTCGGCTGGACGCATTCCGAAACGAGTCAACGAGGAACCTTTTGATCCTCGAACCACCCTTGCTGCCGCCTCGGAAGCGCGATAGAAATCGGGTCGACATTCTTAACGCGACGCTCACCCTATCCACCTCCGGTTAATATCTCGTTGGAAACTCGGCTGAAAGGAACTTCTACCTCGCCAACTTTCTCCGTGGGCACGTTTTAGGCTACCTGCGACGAGATAAAGTCGCGCTTCCGAGGATCGCCGGCGAACACGCAAACGTATTGTTTCGAGAGGACTGGCTTACCTGCTTGTGCATCTCCACGGTGATACCGTACGACATCTCGTAGTACTGCAACAGAAAATTAAAGACGTACGAGGATTTAGTGCGTCAAGCGTATCGCGGGGATGCGATTTTTTATATCTGTGTTTGAGGAATCTTTCGGGGAACGATTATGTACCGTTGGTATGGGAGAAAAGTAAGTGCTCATTGAAGTGTTGTCGTATTTGGTATATATTCATTATGTAGCCATTTAGTGTAAAGAACTGAATAGTACATGATTATTGAGTCATACAGGCAAGGATGCTGATACAGACTAGATGCATGACTATTTTTAACGTGGTTGCTTATTGGATAACCCACGGGCAGTGAGTTCGTTCTTCTTGTATACGAACGGTAGCTATCCTTGTAAAATGAGTAAAATCTCAATGCTAGCAATGGGTTCCTATTTAATAAGCAATATTGAGTAATAATACTCGACTATTTTTAACGTGGTAGTTATAGGACTACTTATGAGCATGTTGAAATCATTCTTCTCGAATACCAACGGTAGCTATCCTTGTAAAATGAGTAAAATCTCAATGCTAGCAATGGGTTCCTATTTAATAAGCAATATTGAGTAATAATACTCGACTATTTTTAACGTGGTAGTTATAGGACTACTTATGAGCAGTGTTGAAATGGGTGACGTGGCGTTCAACGTGTTGAACCAACTACAAAGCTCCGAAACGTTATAAAATATCCTTGTTTGAATACCAGACTGTGAATGCTAATGCAAATTTATGTATTTCTCCTATCTGAAATAACCCTTTTCAAAAGCTCTACCTAATAAATCTCATGACACGTACTCTCCAATTCTTCGATATACAGAACCGCAACCGTTGGTCGTGGCATTCACGTGTAACATGTCTAGATTCGTGAAAGTACCGCTCAACAAGTTTAACAAGATCCCTGATGTAATGGCCTAGGCTTGGAGCGAGTGTTAGGGATACGATCGAGCGATTAGACTATCGCCTATAGCTTAGCTAGCTGGCGTTATCTGATACTCTTTAGCAGACCGTGGAGGGTGGCAAGAACCGACGTCGAACCGAGTCCTAAGGATCTTGTACAACTTGTTGAGCGGTCAAACTTTAGAGATATCAGTCTACGGGGCACCAGGAGTCTCGGGTGTCTTCGGTTGGCGGTTCCAGAGGTCTCGCAGGATCCGGAGGATTCATACCGAACCGAAGTACCCAGCGAATCTGGAGGTGCCAAGAATCTCGGTCCCAGGAGTCTCTCAGATATTCCAGACCTTCGAGACTCTGTACACCGAGTAAACTTGGAATTTCTCGAATCTCTTGTGACCTCGGCTGCTCCCTAGACTCGCGGGTACACCTAGGACCACCTGGACTCTCCAGGTCAAAGACGAGAGTCCTTTATAAACCTACCACACAAGCTAGAAGAATAGTCCTCGTAAGATTGCTATTCTTAATCATTGATCATTTTCGTAGAAGATTTAAATAGGTACAAAGTAGAAAGTCAGGAGGTCAGTGGATGATGGAGTTCCAGAAGAGTAGTCTCAGTTTTGGCTACTCTTACGATACAGTTTAGAGGAAACCAAAATTCTTAATCATGGATGGCTCCCATAAAAATGTTTGATAGCAGAAAAAGTAAAAATTCAATGGATTATTAAATAACGCAATCTAACACCATGGTACGCTAGAAGAATAGTCTTAATTTCATAACCGAACGCTTTCAGCAGGTGGCATTAGTGTTTGCTGGATATTCTATACACGTTCAATCGAGGTCGAAACATTTCATAAAATTATATTTTTCCTTTTTGTTTCTAGTTTGAATTCGTTTCTCCTTAAATTACGCCATTTCAGTACTGATTTCTATTCCTACAATAGTTTAGACAGAAATAGCTCGGCAAATTTCTTAATCCTGGACAGTTCGAACGAAAAGGTTCATCGCTGCAAATAACAAAAGTCAAACGGATCATTAGATGACGAAGTCTAGCGCGATCTCACGAGGATTAATGGTCACTGCTCTGGACCCATCTAGTACCCTCCCCCTTCCTCCTCCTCTCTCTTTCCTAACATCGTCAGAGTCCACCAGGACTCTGTAGACATCCGGGAACAGCTCGAGCCCCCTAGACGTGACATCTATCCGTATCGGGTTCCACGAATTCCGACCAATCGGGTTCTGGTTCCGCGAACCTAGTGCCCATTAGCGTTGGGTATCTGGAAACTCGTAATAGACGAAATCGAATTTTATGACTCTGGATTTATCGGCCTTGGCTTCGACGCATACAGCGCGAGCGAAATCCTCTCGCGTGTTGCGTGTACGCCTCTTGTGTTGCGCGTACCGCGCGGAATGATCCGGACTACGGGTGTACGGTTTGCGCAGAAATACGATAGGGATGTTCAGGGAAATCCGCGAAGTCGAGACTTAACAATAAAACGCGCGTTGGCCACGTGTTTTGAAAACCGATTTCCTCGAAAACCAAGCCGGGAACAATTTTATTCTGTGCACTTTCGATTCACTTTTGCGGATAGAATCACGCTTTCAGCAGGTGACATTAGCGTTTGCTGGAGATTCTATATACAGTGAATCCCATAAATATCCCTGTATGTCTGTCGAAGTTGTTTTACTAAATTAAATAATGGTATGTCTATCTGAAGTATGTCTTCTGTATGTCTACCGAAGTTATTTTACTAAACTAAATAATAGTTTTGATATTACAGAGCTTCTCGCTAAGAAACTTCAGGAATTAATTGTAAGAGCTAAATATTAATGAAAACAAGTCTGGAGAGAATTTGTAAATTTTGATGAGAATACGAAAATACGTGATACGACGAATGTTAGGTTCCATGGTCTGTAATTGTCTCGAGACCAAATTTTACACCTGCAGATCTCTCCATGTGAATCGGTCTGGCAATCAACGTGTTGAAATAAAATCAATCACATGAGATGAAAAGTAACTTCAGGCAGTGACATAAAACTCATTATTTATTGTACGTAGGCTGTGGATCTTTATACAAAATAAAATCTTTGGAAACGTAGCTACAAAAACTGAACCTAAGTAAGAATATATTTTACTCTAAAAATATTACATGAATTTTAATTTCGATATTTTTTTATATTATTGCATACTGTATGCATTTTCTAGTTTCTCGCACACTCGAATTTCCTATGAATACATAAAAATTCCCAGTAAATAAAATAAATAAAATTCTGTATATTAACGGGTCCGAGAGTTTTTTTATACATTTCAATTTCATTATTCAAATACATTCTGTTTAACATTTCCCGCGCGTCTTAATTATTCGCCATCCTCGATCAATCCCAAATTCTACATTTATACTCGAGAGTCTGAAACATTTAAAAGTGTGAACGTAGGGAAGCATTAAAATTTGAAAAACAACATTTCAAGAATTTCAGCACCCTGGTACTACATAGCGCAATTTCATCGTGGAATCCTAGTATCCAAGACCAAAACGTCATCTTCACGATTATTCTACGCTCTGTAAAGATCGAGAGCCGCGCAATATTTATACAGACCCTAGGCCATCGTTTCTAGAGGAAATAAAATTTCCTTTATTAAAATATTGCGATATCCGAACGCTTCGTTTCCCGTGGCCCGACGCCGCGCAATACTCCGCGATTTACGACGGCGGTCTGCTTTTATTCACAGTAAATCCAGTCGACATCCGACGGTCGTTGCCAAGAGTACGGCCTCCGGTAACCCTGCCGCAATGCCAGAGTTTCATCCCGGCCCTCTGTCGTTTCTTTCATTAGCGATACTTAACTTCCGTTTCTTTACAATATCGCTTCAGACGCTCTCTACAGTTTTCACGAGAACCGAGGAGCCACCGTTCGGTGGAAAACTTTTAATAAATACAACAGGCATCTCGTAAATCTCGGGGCGAAACGAGAACCGCCGGCACCACTGCTTCCCTTCCTGTTCCTTTCACTCCTTTCTCCGTAGCGGCGAGCAACGTACACAAGAAAGAATCATTACAACGTTCGCCAGTTGGATCAAGTCACCTTTGTGCACTGTAGGAATTTCTGTTCCGTTTCGACCGCGTCGAAGATCGAATCTGATCAAACACCAACGGAAGGTTTCGCAAAGAGGACCACGCGACGTCCTAGCGATTGCTACGGTGGAATCAAAACAATACGTATTGCTCCTTCAAAGGGCTCGAGTCGGCGAGGTTGATCAGATTGAAGACTTGGAAGGTTGGTAATTGAAGGTGACAAAGTGTCGAATAAATATTTCTACTTAAAATGAAATTGTAAATGATTGAATATAAAGGATCAGAATTAATTTTTACACCTAATACGTTAAAAGATTTCTTCACTTTTATATTTTGAGATGTCCGAGATTGTATGAGATGCCAAAGTGTACACTTTATGCACTATTTTCAAGTAATAAATAGTATAGATCGTATAAATGATGAAATACCATAAAAATGCATGTATATGGATAATGTAAATAAATATATAGTCTAAGCTCAATATTTCTATATATAACAGACCATGTTTGCATTAATTTATGGCCGAGAGAAAACGAGTCTCCCCTCAAACAGGAGGAAGAAATAGGTAAGAATTTTATATGAAGATCAACATGCAATAGACAAGAATAATATTATATGAAAAAGAATAAAGTACTGTTACGTTAACGAAGAAACTAGCTTAAGCATCCAAGTATCGATGATTTTATCTAAACCTGCCATTGACAAAATAGAGGGACGAAAGAGTCAGCTGAAAGACGACCAAATTCAGTCGTTCGGCCTCACCCTGTTTCAAACGGGAGGCGTGATAAACTAATTGCTCGTTTGGTGTAAACACGCGATCTATCTTTACAGGCCTCTCGTCTCTCTCTCTCTCTCCTTCCCAGTTCCTCTAACATTTTTACGAGCAAGCTGTAATGCGCTCTGGAATCATCGTATCCGTGGGTAATGCGTCCCAGAACGGGCGGTTGGTACCCAAGCGGTTTCAGGTACTAACCAATTTACGATCGGTCGGCTGTACCCACGAATTGTATGTAGTTAACCCAATTGGAATCGCTCCGGGAATCTCCCTCCGCAGCT